GAAAATATAAAAAAATTACGTGAGCTGGACCGATTTGAAAATATCTACAAACCTCCAAAAATCGAGTTTTTTTAATAAATAAAGTTAGTCCTTAAAAATATTTTTTCTAAAAAATCACCTCAGACGTCTTCTGTATGGCTAAAAAAAAAATAGAGAATTATTGGCAAGTAGAGTATGTGGAAAGAGGATACTTAGATTGCAAACGCTCTTTCGGGAGACGGTACTGAGGAGTAGCCGGACCGCTGGAACAATAGTTCCAACGGCCGAGTGACTTTTATGAGTACATTCGGGATGTTAATTAATTCCGTGAAACTCCGGATTTCAGATTGCCTGAGTCTGGGTTTTCTTTAGACCGGACATGGGCTATTCAGCGAGTTAATGCATAAACGGAATCTTCACGATTCGGAGGGTTGCGTATATGGTGCCAAGAGCGAGCATGTCAGTCACGTTGCGAATGTCCGATATACTCAGACTTTCGGGATTTAACTAGGATGGGAATTAGGTGAAAAGCTGGACGATTTATTTTCGACGCAGCTCTCTCAACTAGTCGGCATATTGAAACCTTTTTGGGAATTTGCACGATAGGTCTTTAGACGGCGAAGATGTGTAAATGAGCGGGTGAAAGCGAGTGGCATGGAAACTCGATTGATAGGAGTTTCGGCTACGAGGTCGGACCGGAGACTTAATTTTGGTACTATGGGGAACACGAACCCCTAAAGTTTACTCTCCTGGCCTGTTCTTGGGTACGGCTCCTCGCGAGTTTAAAACCAAATGTGGGTAGAGCGGACTTTTGTTGGCTCGATGTGGAGAATCGTAACCGGGTGCTCGACTCAAAGTACGGCGAAGTTAAGATAGACCTCGAACCCTACCAAGATGGTTAGTGTGTCCAATTCGCACTGCCGATTGGTAATGAGGTGCTTGCATTTCGGGGCGCTGATCAACGCATTGTTTCCTGAATACCGTGGGGTTAAGCCATCGTCGCACATACCCATGCAAAATACATCAGACGTTGATGCGTAGTGAGACGTGAGGCTCATTCATCGAGCTGAATCGCAGTACTCGGCGACGAAGTCTCCCTCAATTCACCAATGGGACACCGAATTCGTAGACATCGGTAATTTTGCGCTCCTTTAATTGGAAGCTGTAATAAGCATCTTCTCCATTAGTGGTCTGAACGTTACAATTACTAAATTAATTATCGCCAATTATTGCTTCTACAACTATTTCAAGAGAAAAGTTGCAAAATATTCTGTAATTAAGTACGTCCATAAGTTTCTGTCTACTGAAGCGATCTTTTAATGGCAGCCAGCTTAAAAAATATTGTTTATTTTAAATTCGCGGATGCTCAGCGCATCTTCAAGCGTCCGGTGTTAGCTTTCATACACACAAATTATCTTCCTCAAGCTACAAGTGGCACCCCCCTGCGAAGGGCTCCACAATGCACCCATTGAGTAGAGTACATCAATTACTTAGGAGGCAAGTTTGATGCTAGAAAATCTGTTGATTTACTCTGTGGCTTAATAACTACATAGCTAAATATTTACATATGTATGTACGTACATAAGTATGTATAAATATGCTTGTGATGGCAAGGGGTTTTCTTGCAAAACTCGTTATTTTGTGTTTATATTACTTAACATTTTTTTTTTCAAATTTCCGCTACTCAACTTTATTAGGCTGCATTGAGAAAAGGCTTTGGAATGGTGTGCTCTTTTATGAATATACAAATTATTTATACTTTTATATACTTATTTAAACTTCATAGCACAATTTCGCATACATTTCTCTTCCCATATAAATTGTTTGATAATTTTCAATTTTCATATTCACGTTTTACAGTATTTCCAAATGTACCTTCTGCACCTGGCATGTCCTGTGATGGAGAAGATCGTAAGTGATTCGCAAGAAGAAGAAAAAATGAATTGTTTTACTTTAACATTTGCTGCTCTTAATGATGTGCTAACTGGCTTTAATTTTCCTAATCGCTCCTTTTTCCACTCTCCTTCGCAGGCAGCATCTACAGACGTGGCGCACGCAGATGGCGCAAGTTATATCGCGTTAATGGGCACATTTTCCAAGCCAAGCGCTTCAATCGGGTAAGCACGCTCGCTCGCTGCTGCACTAGTTTTCAATTATTTACCTGCTAATTAGCAACTACAAATATTTGTGTTTCCTCACAGCGCGCCTTTTGCGCCTACTGTCAAGATCGTATCTGGGGCTTGGGTCGGCAAGGTTTCAAGTGTATTCAATGCAAATTGTTGGTGCACAAAAAATGCCATAAACTCGTACAGAAGCACTGCACCAACGAACATGTGGAGCCATTAGTTAGAGAACGCGACGATGCCTTCGCCGAACAGTTGCCGGAGGTGTTGCCGCCATTGCCCGATTATGCGTCGCAAGCGAGTGGCAGCGTTCATGGCATGGTGGATCCATGTGATCCACTAGCTGCGCTAGAAATACAACCGCATGATGCGCAACAGCAACAACAACAGCATCAAAATATCGAAGAACAATTGGAGCCGGGCACACAACGGCAATACTCAATTAATGATTTCGAATTGATACGCGTCATTGGACGTGGCAGCTATGCCAAGGTGTTAATGGTCGAGCTGAAGAATACGGGCCGCATTTATGCAATGAAAGTGATTAAGAAAGCGCTTGTCACCGATGACGAGGATATTGATTGGGTGCAAACGGAGAAGCATGTCTTCGAGACGGCCTCCAATCATCCTTTTTTGGTGGGTTTGCATTCGTGCTTCCAGACACCGTCGCGGCTCTTTTTCGTCATTGAGTTTGTGCGTGGCGGTGATCTTATGTTCCACATGCAACGACAACGTCGCCTGCCCGAGGAGCATGCGCGCTTCTATGCTGCGGAAATTAGTTTGGCATTGAATTTTTTGCATGAAAAAGGTATAATCTACCGCGATTTGAAGTTAGACAATGTGCTGTTGGATCATGAAGGTCACATCAAGTTGACCGATTATGGCATGTGTAAGGAGGGCATACGTCCCGGTGATACGACCTCCACATTCTGCGGCACACCCAATTACATAGCGCCAGAGATATTGCGCGGTGAAGATTATGGTTTCTCAGTGGACTGGTGGGCGTTGGGCGTGTTACTGTACGAGATGTTGGCCGGGCGCAGTCCATTCGATATTGCGGGCGCATCGGAGAATCCCGATCAAGTAAGTGGTATTGGTAGTTGATTTTCGGCATTTGTGTAATATGTTTGTTTGTAATTTTGCAGAATACTGAAGATTATCTGTTCCAAGTGATTTTGGAAAAGACCATACGCATACCGCGTTCGCTGAGCGTCAAGGCAGCGTCTGTGTTGAAAGGTTTCCTTAACAAAAATCCAGCTGATCGTTTGGGCTGTCATCGGGAGTCCGCTTTCATGGACATTGTGAATCATCCGTTCTTTAAGAGCATCGACTGGGAAATGGTGAGTAGAATTGTAGCAAGCTGTTGACTTCAATGTGGTTCTCAAATGGAAAATTAAGCAGTCGCGAACATAAAAAAAATTATGAGTGTCTGTGCTCGATAATTGGCAAAAAATTTAACACGATTTGCATGTGTGAAAATTGATGATGATTTTCCTACCTCTAGTTTTTAGGCTTATTTTTTACGACATATAAAGTTATGTTAATAGTATATTTAGCTATTCAACATACAGACTATTCACGCAGAAGACGCTAAACCGTCAGGCAAGTTTCATATTAAAACAGAAAGTAGCGGCGAAAGAAGTAAATTATTGCCGCAAAATAGGTTCTTTAATATTTTCACTATACAAAGTTAGCGTTTATAAGAATACATTTTTGTTTATTTTTCGTGCTTACCAAAAAACGAAATCGATTTTCAACAATTATTATTAAGATTGCACAAAAGGAAGTACTACCACCATATAAGCCCACATTTGATCCTGGCGATCCTTATATGGCAACAAATTTTGATGCGCAATTCACTAGAGAACCAGCCGCATTAACGCCAGATGATCCGTAAGTTTGTAGCAAGCAGCAGGCTGGTTATGCAGTGGTTATATTTCATACACCCTCAGCGCTTAGTTATTTTACACGCTTTTTTGAGTTGATGTTTTTGCTGGCGTTGGAATGCACACTTTTTTATTGATATACTAGAATTATTTACTGTTTTATATTAACGGAACATCTTAGATTTAAAGCAAGTGAAATATAATGCTTAAGGGGTTGTTTGGGTTTTAAAAATGTCTGGTAATAGATTTGTCTAAAATATGCACCTAAATCGTTCGGTCTTTTGTAATAAAATTCTAGTAGAAACTTCAATGCTCCCAAAAAACTAGAAACTGTATTCTCTTCTTAGACTTCAAAATCCGTACAAACCCCTTTAGTTTTGCCTGAAAATTATCATGAAAAAACTAAAAAATGTATTCTCTTATTAAACTTCAAAACCCGTGCAAACCCCTTAAGAAGTGTTGCCTCTTAAGTCGCATAAGTGCCAAATGCTTAAATATTGTTCTTAAAAATTATAACTTTCAAATCCTCAGTGGTGCCAACCATATAATTTCCATTGCTAATTTGTTTTTTATTCTCTTAATAGGCTAAGTGACTTCATGCTGATTTTTGTGAAACTTTTACAATGTTTATTCAAGTTAATTTTTCTTGTTACTTTAATGGTTTATGCTTTAATCAAAATCACATAAGTCAATCTTTCAATTTTGTTTTATAAAACTTTGGAAAAATTCAACCAATTTTCATCATTTTTTAATCTGAATTATGCTATGAAATTCTAGTAAACAAGTGCAAGTTTTATGTGGCTAAAAAATCGAGCTGCCTTTTAATATAGTATTTTTTTGCCGACGGCTTTTTGAACTTTGTATCATATAATTGTAAATTTATTGTAGAATAAAATGCGCAAGACCGTTTGCAAACCGTTTGTACTTGTTAAATGAAAAAAAAAAACTCAAAAGCCGTCAGCAAAAAAAAAATTATTAAAAATCAGTGCGATTCTTTAGCCGCTTAAAACTTGCTCTTGTTTTACAATAGCCGTCATCGATTCGCCAACAGTTAGCGAGTGGGAAACGAACGAACTCAATGAGGTACAACCAAACTCGCTATCGTCTATCCGTGCTAGCTATATTTGTTGTTGCTTTCACATGCAAAATTCTTCTTTAAGCGACCGGGAAGTGCCGAAACGATGACGGCTTATAATTTCATAACTGCATACTAAAAAAAAATTTTAGAAGTTCAGATTAAAAATTTAAAACTTTTATGAAAATCTGTTATAAACTTTTCTAAATTCTGTATAAAGTTTGAAAGTTTGACTTACGTGGTTTTGGTTAAAGCGATAAAGATTTTAAGCTGGGAATAATTAAAACAAAAATTACCATGCAGTAAGTTTAGATCGCCGTTCTACCTATTTTATAATTTCTTGGCGTCACCACCAAATATTTTTAATATGTTTGAAATAATATCTACATATGTATATGCACGTAAGGATATTGAATCTATTTTTTACATACTATATACTTTTCTAGCTGCATGCTTATATAGGAGTTTCATGCACTTTATTATATTTTTTTTTTTTTTGATAAACTAGTATTGTATCAAAAAAGCAAATTTATTTAAAAAAAAAAACAATTTTTGTAAGAATAAATTTTGAGCACCCTACATAATTATATTTTACCCCAATTAAGCCGAGACTTTGGTAAGCAGTATTTAGTCTAATAAACTGTAAGTCGCTACTTCACGTTCAAAGTAAAATTCGAAAATTTGCCAAATTAATGGACACACCCAAAAGTATGCTACCGCAGTAACGCAGCCCAATCATCTTGTAGATTGGTGCAGTTATTTGTTGCCTACTTTTGGGTGCAACAATTTCCGTTAAAGAAATTCCAGCGGTGTCTGCTATGCTCATAAACTCAACGCGTAACATAAATTTTATTTTTCATAAAACTATATTCGAATCATCACTTTTCACAAATGCATTTTAGTCGGAAAAAAAACAACAAGCAAGAAGAAAAACAGAAAATTTATTTTCTAGTCTAAAATAAGGTTGAGGTTAAAAATCTGTATTTTTTTCAAATCGATTTTTCTGGAGGGGCTGCCACTTAAAATGCACATGTACATATGCTTTTAACGGCGGTTCGCGATTCGTTCCCCTTTCTATTACGAATTTTTTCGAGCTTCAAGTATTTTTGCTTTCGAGTTTAAAGTGGTCACCTAAATTCAAATACATATTCATTTAAATATCTTCTTAAACAAGGGGATTAACTAATTCGAAATTTTAAAAGTATATCATCTCTTTTTTTATTAAATTTATATTATTTTGCTATTAATCGCCTTTGATTTTACTTTTTCTTGCCGCTAATGCGCCACATGTCACCTCAAACGATTGAAAATTTCTTCGTCTGTTTCTATAAAATCATCGATTCAAACCATACATCGCTCAATTGTTCGCTCGCACTTTTCAATTAAACGCCCCATCATCACCTAAATCGGCACACATTATATGCATTTGCCATTATCAATATTTACGCTACAATCGCAGCTCGAACGCAAGCAAGTTTCGCCACCTTTTAAGCCGCGCCTAGACTCTGATCGAGATCTAGCCAATTTCCCACCCGAATTCACAGAGGAAGCTGTACAGCTGACGCCGGATGATGAGTAAGTAGACAGCGACGATATAAAGTAGTTTAATTCTTTGTGCAACACAGTCCTTTTTTAAAGGACATTTTGTTTTTGTATTACTTTCTATGTATTGTATATGTTTACCTTTTTTGATTTATAACTATTGCATATTTTCATCTCATCCATTTTTATTGTAAAAATATTTTGTACATGCACTTTTTTCATATGTACGTACATACTATTTATTATTCATTGCCTTTTATCAACTTATTCACAGTCGCGTTATTGACAAGATAGATCAATCGGAATTCGAAGGATTCGAATATGTGAATCCGCTGCTTATGTCGCTAGAGGATTGCGTTTGACACCACGAGACATGTGATTTGCATCCCTATAATATGCGTGTAAGTGTATGCCACAAAAAGGAAGAAAGAAAATGAATTTTATTTTGTAATTTCCCTTTCATTTCATCACACTCCCTTTGCAGTTGTATGGCGAGGACTCCAGTGATTATGACTCAGTAGCTGATGACTTAAGTATTTTACAATTGCACGCACCGCCTCCATCAACCGCTAATAATAATTCGACGAATCTTCGTTTTCAACAGCAGCAACAGCAACAACACTTACAGCATCACCAGCAGCAGCATCAATTTCCGCCGCTAAATCAGAACCCCAATCATAGTCAGAATAATCATCATAACGGTAACAATAATAATCATAATCATAATTCCAATAATAATAAAAGTCTACTGCAGCACATGTTTTGCCTTCCATTAAATTAGAGTAAACAGAAACAAAATACAACAAAAACAAAAATGTAAACAAACAGCAAGCGAATTAAGAAAACTAACGAAAGTTTGAAATAATGCAATTGAAAATTAGAACAAAAGCAGCTGAAGTTGAAGTGACAAAGTTATACTAATAAAACAGTGTAAACAAAACAATGACAACAGACACAGCAACAACAACAACAACAACAACAACAACATTACTACAACTACTATAGCACACTATCTATTTGTATGGCTTTTGCGTGGCAGCAAGTAAGAATGCGCTGTAAAAGTAGAAAGGTAACGCGTTGCAAGAGAGTGCAAAATGCAGTCAAAATTCGTGGTAAATGTCATGCAGTATATCGCGCAGAGATCAACAAGTAATGGAGTTGTAGTATAACAGCCTTTTAAGTGGAAATAGCCCTGCTATTATAGTTTTAGAAAGAGCGTTTCAAAAACTACTCAGTTATCCATAATCAATCGCAATTCTTCACACTCCATTCTAAGCGAAACAAACTTGTGATTTGTCTAGGCGGCGATCCTTCGAAAATTGCGCTAGATAAATTGAAAAGTTAGAGGCATACTGCCAAAGTTGCTTTGATTGAGTCTGATGATAAATATATATTTTGAACCCTTTAAAAAACTCATCACCAACCATTATCAGTCGCAATTCTTTACACTCAATTCTAAGAGAAATAAACTTTTGGTTTGACTAGGCATCAGAGGCATACATACCGCCGTAATTGTTTGGACCAAAGCTGATCGTATCTTGTGACTCTTTTCCCGTATTATTTGGCAACCTCATTATTATAATTATTTTCAATTTCAAGCATGAAATTTAAGCTAGTATTATAGTGTTATATATTTAATTTTTGGAGTGGTAGCTCGATTTTCGCATGCGAGTTGTTACGCGACCGCCATTTTGAAAACATGCAGCAAGATGAAGGAGTGTTCTAGCTGAAATTATTATTGTTCTCAGTCACTGTCGCTGTCCTTTGTTTGTGTTTTTTCCCGAAGCTCTTATTTGACTTAGTTAAAATTAGCAAAAATTTTGGCAACATTTTGCTACAGCGAACAAATTCGATTGCTTACCTAAGCCAGTAATTACCATTTTATTCCATTTGCTGGTCAACTCTTTTATATTGTGTCTACTTCTATTCTTAGTGTTTTTAATCTATTTAATTTCGCATATGGACAAACGCTAGGCTGCTAGCCAGGGAGAGTGTAGGGAGCTCAAGTATAACTTGAATGCTTGCTGACTAATAGAACAAAAGCACTAATTGGTACTGAAAATGTTGCAAAAGCTGATAGTGATGAAAGTAAGTGCTAAATGAAAACGAAAATTAAATAGCAGAAAAACTAAAAACAAGCAACAGTTTAGGGTAGTATGCATGCACGAGATAGTAGCTGTTAATGTTAAGACGCAACTGAAAGGTTTTTTAATATTAGCATAAATCATAAAACTAAAAATTAAAAGAAAAAAAAGACAAAAAAGTAATTATGTCATTTTAGCAAGACGTGTTGCAGAAAAACATAAAAAATCTAAAAAAAAATTACCTATACATATACACAAGTAAAAATAAAAAAACTCACAAAAAATCAGTAATTAAGGCATGCCAGGTATTGTAATTGCAATTAAAATGTATATTTGTAGCGCGAAAAAGCGACAAGCGAGCAAATAAATGTTAGGATGAAGGCAAAAAAATAATTAGCGAAAATGATGTTAGAATTTTCAAAATGTTTTACTTTTTAAAAAGAAATAAATTCACTCGCAAACGTCACACACATTCACACACACACACTCTCGTATATACATACACAAATACAAAAGATGATGGTACTTTAATCTAAACTATGCATTGTATTACAACTGCAACTACAAGCAAAACTACTATTATTATTTAAAAATTAATATGTAAGCAAACAAGTAAATTCTAAATATTTAAATTCAAATAATACAAAAATAGAAAATAAAAAATGTTTAAATATAGACCGAAACATCTAATTTCATAAAAAATTAACTAAAAAATTATTGCGCATGTGTACTGCCGACTTACTTTGTTTGGCATTTGTTTGGATTTGCCTGAATCTGAAAGTCTGCTCTATTTGGAATAGAAAACTTGTATACTCAAAAGCCTTCTTCAAATGCTAAATTTCGGAATTTTAAACTATTTTAGCAACATTGAATGCAGAAGCTTACGTGATTCAAATTCAAGAGTAGAAAAATGCTTTCTACCTTTGAATTATTTCTTTGATAGATTCGAGAGATTCCTTTTGATAAACTAAATTTTTACTGAACTGCCAAAATTTCTATCAAATACATGTTAACCCTTAATATTGGGTCGAGTAAAAAGCCATTGCGTATTTTTTGTCTCATTAGACACCCAGTAGATAATTTCAGGAGCTAAAAGCCGATCTAGAAGGCCTGCCTGTGAGTCGAAAGGCCTGACACAATACATTCCTTTCTTTTTTGTATGGATTGGCACTAATCGAATGGCTTCTGCCTTCGCTACCCATAGAAGGGGTTTTGTAAGACGTACTTTGGAAAGCCTTTTTGAGAAGTTTTTTAAAGCTGATTCTTTAAGTAATAAGAAAAAATACTTCTCAAGGTATTCATTCAAACTAAAATTGTGTTTGTAATGCTATATAACATAATATTATACATTCGCGTAAATTGTAAATAGGAAAATCCCTTCTAGAAGGTATGCATGCAGCGGAGCGTCTTTTTTTAGTCTTTGTTGGGTAAGCATTTTAGAATGGCTTCAGTTAAGGGGACCTACCTAAATTGTCTTCGCCATCAATCTCGGTAGGCCTTCTTATTCGAGAAGCATCTTTGAGGCACTGAGGTTCTTTTGAGGCATAAAAACTCCAAAACTGAAAAATTGCTTCATAGGTCAGCTATGTATGTGTGAATGACTCCAGTACTGCCAAAACATAATACCAGCTCCTACAGACATACGCAATGCCATTTTAGTTCATCCAATACGTGCGAGTTTCAAGATTTTCCCGTTCCTCGATTTTGAGCTAATCACCCAAGCGAAAAATTCAGCAAAATGTTACACCCTGCAAAGCAAATGTTTTAGAACAGTGCATATGCGACAATTTTCCACAACAATTTCATTACACAACAAACATTAAAAAATAAAATAAAATCACAGCATCAAACTAAAAACCACAGCGAAAAATATTTACATACGCAATGTTGTTGTTAAAACAAACGATTTTTTTCTTTAACGTGTTGTATATACCTACATATTGTCGTACATATAAAACATATGTCAATATGTGGGCATGTATGTATGTATAGCAAACAAAAGATATGCAACTTTCGAAAGTGATCGTGGCTGGTCGAAACATTCCAATTGTACTTAAATTGTTAATATTTAATTTGTATTTTTCTTACTTTTAACTAACAAATCGTAAGCTCTTTATACATACATACATACATATACACTAAAATACATTCTTACACATGTACATGCATACAAAATGATATGAGCATAATTTAATGAAGTAGTGATTTAAGCGTAAAACTAAATTAAAAAAAAATATATATATATATAAAATCATGATGAATATTCTAAAAGAAACAACACCCTTAATATTAATATAAGCAAATGAAATGAAGGAGTAAAAGTTTGTGAGAAAGCGTAAAATGTGAAAAAAAGTCTAAGAAGCAAAGTTTAGTGAGCAATGATGAAAAAAGGCAACTTTTAACTTTCGATTAAGCTAAGACATAAATAAATACACATAATAAAATTACCTACATACATACATACTCTTATGCTAACAACTCGATAATTAAGTTGATGAATTCTAAAACAAATAAAAACAAAAACAAATTTAGTAAAACAACAAAAAGAACAAGCAAAAAACAATGAATGCTCCGATAGATATGTTTTTCGTAGTGGTGTGTGTACCTATAGATACAATCCTTTAAGCAAATGTTTGAAAAACTATAACACAAATACCTACAATTATTTGAGACCTTTGTCAGCTAGGGGTGGGGAAAATGTTATGTAATAATGCCTCATTTGTGCGAGTGTTGGCTAACTGTGATTTTAACTTATTCGTGTTTTCAATTTTCATGAATTCAAATTGAAACTGAAATTAGAATGATTGTAAAATTCCGATAAACTTGAACAAATTTTTGAGCAAAAACTAAATTTTAAAATGATGTCTCATTTTTGAAACCCATTATACTATATAACTCGCACAAATAAAGCATTAATTAAGGCTAAGTTAAAAAGTTAAACACAATTTTAAAGTATTGAGTCTCAACTTGTAAGTCGCTAAAAAGAAAATACTGTTATGCTTAGAATTATTGTTTTTGTAAAAATTATTTCGTGGTTTCATAAACGCCTAGCACAAAAGTGCATTGATTAGCGCTCAGCGGTGTTAGCGGTGTCAGCGGTGTGGAATGGGTGAAGGAAATGCCGGTTATTAATTGAAAAACTGGTAGTGTAAGGAAATAAAATGAAACGTCCATAAAAAATATGTGAAAACCAACCAACGAACGGATGTCCTCACTGCTGATGAAAAGATTTTTTAGTGACATATCATGCACCAATTTTGGTATGCTCAAGGAGTAAAGGAGTGTTTTGAAGGTAAGACCCTTTGAATTGGCAATTTCATGTGTTTCATTAGGGCTGCTAATTCTCACACGAAAGGTTTTGTTCCCTCGCTCTATGTTTAGATTTGATATTACACTGGGAAGAAATAAGAAAAAAAATCGAGCGCATCATGAGTAATATGCCACAAAAAACGAACTAAACATAAAACGGAAAAGTTGAAAAGTTTAGAAAAATGTACACGTGCAACCAGAAAGTTTTCGGAATTAGTGTATAGAAACTTGAAAAATTTTCAGTTATTATATTAAACTAACGTTCAGATTTATATTTTTCCATAAGCTCGTGCGTCAATTCGTAAATGAATTACTGCAAAAACAGTACCTTTTATTGCTAAATGATAATTGATGGAAATGTCCAGCATCCGAAAACACGGTTAAACGCCAAATTGAAATCAAGTTGTGAAAATAAGGCATTTCTATGAACTATAGTTTACTAATAAAATAATTTAATTCTTTGCAGTAAGACTACGGATTGCATTTACGAATTACGGATTGCTCTACACTTCCAAATTTCACTTTTGAAACACTATTGAAATACCGTTTTTCTGGGACTCATATATTTAGAGTTGAAAATTTTTGATTTTTTTCAACATATTCGTTACTGTTCGTCGATGTTTCACCACATTTTCAGTATTATATGCCAGAGCTATCTGTAATCCCAAAATTTCGGTATTTTTAAATTTCCACTTGGCATTGAAATGACAAAAAATGTAGCCATTTAAAAAATGCCATGTGGAAACAGACATAATTTTTTAATGGCCAACATTGTCATTAAAAAAGTTGTAATTCAATGCCTGCCTAGTGGAAATTCAGCATTATTTATGTCGAAGTAAAAAAAGTTGTGAGTATTTTGGCTGAACAAAAAAGTTTTCCTTTCGAACCCAAAGCACACCGCTAGCCATATTTATTAATAAAGGATAATTTTTTCTATTTTGGTATCGTTTTAAATTTTTTCTTATTTCCTTTATTTTTTTGTAATGATACAGTTATGTTCATTAACCATCTTTGTTTTATCATTTTTGAATTGTTTAAAGCCGAAATTATTTTATTTTTTTATTTCTTTATTGTTTGTTTAAATTTTTATTCGTATTTATTTTTTTTTGATATATGTATTTCTGTACATAAAAAAATGTTGCGGGTTTTCCATCGCAGTTATACTATTTATTATATTACATTGTGTACAATAAGGTGCATCCATCTACATACGAAAAAAAAGCATCGGCACTGTTTTTTCGTCCGAGTTATACAATTTATTATATTTAAAGATTTCCGCTAAAATATCTCGGAGAAGTATTAAAGTTTACGAAAGCTGGACCGATTTAAAAATATCTTCAAAAATCTGATTATTTTGATTCCGTTGAGCTTCCGTTAAGCTTAAACTCTTCTTCATATGAGGTGATTTTCCAAAAGATATATTTAAAAAAAACCAATTTTATTTATAAAAAAATTGAATTTTTGGAGGTATTTTAAACTTGGTCCGGCTCGCAAAATCTAAAAATTTTTCCGAAATAGTTAGGCAGAGTCTAAAATATAATAAATTTTAGAATTCCTATGGGAAAACTGGCAGTTTTTGTTTTGTTTTGAATGCAGAGTGGTGTACCCCAATGTACAAATGTAACTAAATGCTTTTTCATATTTTTTTTAAATTGTCGTTGTTCCTTCTACAAAAAAGTTTCCCTCTCGAACCCAAAATCGTCAACTAGTCACATTCCACGCTACAATGCATTTTTTTTTTAGATTTTGTTTTTTTTCATATATTTTTATAATTGCTTTAGCTTTGTTTTTATTATTTTTTATTTTATTTTTTAAATTTTTGTACTGCAACCTTTTTTAAATAAGAAAAATGTTTTATTTTTTTTTTTTACTTTTTAAATTATTAAGTTTTTTATATATTCATGGCCTTATTCATAATAAATAAAGTAGGTTTAAAGAGCTTTATAAAGTGACAGTTTCCTACAAATTTTCAAATTTTTATATATCTATTTTAATTTTTTATTTTTGTTTTTGTTTTATACTCAAATTTATAAAAAATAAATTAGACTTTGCTAGATAATTTATAAATTGAAAATTTTTTATGAAAATGTCACTTTATAAATTTATTTTTTATCATAAGGTCATTGATTTCTTTTTATATTTGCAATTATTTTTTATTACAGTTATTTTCTTTGATCTTTTTTTTTTGTTTTTTTTTTGCTTTTTTAAATTATAATTGGCGCACAAATACGAAAGTTGTCGACAAATGACAGTTATTTGTTAGCATCCGTTCTATAACATTATGTGGGTTTTAAAGTTACCTAGATAATGTAATTAATAAGCAGAAAAAAATAAAATAATACAAAAAATATTAAAGCACTGTTGGAAGGTGCCCTACAGTTACTACTATTTATTTTCTATTTAGTTAAATAAAAAAATAATTAAAAATTTAAGCGAAACAATATGCTGTGTAGCGATCCATTAAAAAAAAAAATCTTAAATTTTTTAGCCATCTAATTTTAACAAGCCCTGTCAAATAGAAAAAAAAACGTTTCAAGGCCAGTATTTCGATTTAAGTTTTATTCTTCAATACTCGTATTAGCACACACTGTTTACCTGATGACTCACTCGTCCGCTGCTATTTGCTGTATGCCTTTAAATTAATTCTACATAATTTATACTCTCAAATGTAGCCGAAAGTAATCTATTACGTTATGCATATGTAGGCACACCTACTTCTATATAGAACATATGTGGTAGTATAGTAGTGCGTTATGCGTATTTGTTTACAAGTTATCATTACCATTATTATTATTGTAACTATTGTACTAGTAAAATAAAATTTTTAATAATATATACCTATACAGAAAAGAAAAACATACACTTCGAAAATTATATACATACATACATACAATACATTAAAACCTACAATTCTTAGATATCGAGATTTAACACAAAAATAAAGGTGAGCATAAAAAATATGTTTATTTGTATTAATATAAATTTTCGATTTAACAAAAATAAAAATAAAAGAATGACAAACACAACTAATGAGGTTGAACATTAAATATATACTTACATACATAAATTAAACGAAAATAAAAACCACGAAAAAAATTATGTACATAAGCGTTTCCATTCAGATAAGGGGCAAAGTAAAAATTTTCCTCACTGAGGAGAGAAAAGCACGCTGGTAAACGAAGTGTACGTGTGGTGGCAATACATGACAGTTTGAGAAAGAGACGACTATATGTAGCTTTTACCTTGTTTATACCTATACATAAGTGACGAGCTTTTTCCCTGTGCACATCCATACAAAATGTATAGAAGCTCTCTGATTCACCACTCGTGGTGAAAAGCTCCAACTGTCGTAATGGCCGAGTGAGCAAAGCACTGGTGTGCCTTTCGAGAGATTCGAGTTCGAAACACCTCGCAGCGATTTTTTTTACTATAATCTTCTTTTAATTTTTAGATTTCATTGTCTTGAAAAGCAAAAAGATTTAATTTAATTTTTTTGGATTTTATTGTAGTAAAAAGAAAAATAAACATTTTTTTAAATTGACTTAATTTGGGGAAAAAGAAAAGTATATATATATTTTTTAATTTCATTAAGTTTTCAGAAACGTATTTTATATATATTTTTTTAATTTTTTAATTAATTATTTTTTCAATTTTATATTTCTTTTGGTTTTAGATGTTATGGTTTTATAAAGAAAAATAAATTGTTTTCAAATAATACACATAATTATAGGGATCGTATTTTTGTCTTTTAAATTTCACTGCTTATTTATTGATATGTTACTATTTAATAATTAGTTATTAACATCAATCAATATTCGAAAATATATTTTTTAAATTTGATTTAATCTTTAGAATCTAATTTTATTTGGTTTTAGATTTTGTTGTTTTAAAAAGAAAAAAATATATTTTTTTGATTTGATTTCATTTAAGAAAAAGAAAAAGATATATTTTTTTTTTAATTTAAAAAATTTTTAGCAACGTAATTCAGTTTTTTTTTTTAATTTCTTAATGAGATTTAATTTTTATTTTTTTCAATTTAATTTTCCTTTAGGTTTTAGATTTTATTGTTTAAAAAAAGAGCTTTTTTCATTTAATACACAAAATGTTTAGGATCTTACTTTATTTACTTTTTGTCTTTTTTTATGATATTATGTTAACATATTATATTTAATTATTAACATTAATTAATATTCGAAGGACTATGGTGGGATACAAGACAGTTGCAAGAATTGCCCTGGTAGTCGTCACAGCAGGCATTTCAAGTTGAGAAATGCACTTTTATTTCACTATAACCTCACCCAGCTCTTTCCTCTTTTTTCTTTTATTTCCTTAAAAAAAACGTCGTACATTTTATAAGGCTTCTTCATACTTTATTTTTACATATCACTCTAATTGTTTACACATCACAAATATGTACTATGTATCTACTCTTTCATATATCACTTTTTCTTAATAATTTTTTGACACAGTCTACACAACATCGCATAGTTATTCCACACTTAGTTCTAAGTCGCTGATAATATTGAGAATGGCTCATGCATAATTTCCAATATCTTAGCCTCAGGTACTGCCTCACCATTTACTATTAGCGTATACGTCAATCCATCCAATTTATTGCCACTCGAACGCGCTTGCAGCACAAATGCATTACCATTATCCATAAACTTTGTATCCGTGCCACCATCCACAAATTCACCCTGTGAGAAGTAGCACACATTAAAGCACATAACTCTTAAACCTTGCAAAAGCTTATTATAATTTTCCACTCACCGTTTCTGCACGCAGCTGATCATTCACATACAAATTAATCGTATCCAATTCCAACATTATACGATATTCGTTATCCTCAATGCTGACCAACCATAGACGATATTGTTTTGCCAGCTCATCCGTGTATTGTTCGTGTGGTTTGCCGTCGATATATAGTGAGTATGCATAGCGAAAACCTGGCGCTGGATCTACACGTATAATGCAACGTGCTTGTCCAATGTAAAATGAATCTTCGCCAACCAGTTTGAACATCCAGTCGCGTCGCAAGACTTCCTGAAACGAGAGAAGAAGAAAAAAAGTGATTAAAGCTATATTTTCACATTAAGAAGGGTTCATCGTTTCTGTCCTAACTTACCTTGCCATTGACCCATATCATTCGTCGACCTGTTGTGGTGCCATGTTCCAATTCGATGCGATACAATTTTCCATTTATTGGCGCACACCACTTGGCTACAATGTTGTTTTTGTTGTAACGCTTTTCTTCCGGTATGTGATCGAGTGTCATAATCGGTTCGTTGGGAAGGTTCTCCAATCTGAGCGTCGGCGATAGGAAGGACATTTCGGTGTGTAGCTTTTAGATGTGGTTTTAGCAAGAGTCTGGAAAAGTATTTAGAGAGGTGGCATATTTTAGTAAAATATAATAAACAAGGGAGATTGGATAGAATATTTGGATCTCAATTTAACATAAAGTCCACAGTCCCATACACCACAAAACCTTTCAAATGTTACCACGAAGGAAACAACACATCTTCGCCCTTTCCGTATTCCTTTGACTGAAAAGTGTTTTGTATTATTTGCTATTGTAAATTGAACGTTTTAGCCATAATATGATGAAATATACTTATACCTTTTTTACTTTTTTTACAGCTGTGTGCATAAATGTAAAAAAAAATTTAGTACTCTTATGTCGAAAAGAATACGATGGCCCAGTGAAACGAAATACTTCAAAATCGGAAGCGATGCTAATGTTATTCATGGTGAATGGGGTGAGTTGACTTTTAATTTATTTTCAATAAACTTGTACACTTCTTTAATGTCAATGTTTCCATATACTAAATAGTATCTTATCATTAAACAAAAGTTGCGGGTATTCCACCGGAATTATAAAATTTATTATATTTTAAGAGTGGTGCCAACATTTTTCGGAAAAAGTATTAAAATTTACTTGAGTTAGACCGATACATCCAAAAATCTAATTATTTTGATTCCGTTTATCAACGTTTCAACATTATTATGCAGACCTTTAAAGCTTAAACTCTTCTATCATCTGTGATAATTTTTTACAAAAATATTTTTGAAAATTAATTGTATTTAGAAAAACACTCGATTTTTGGAGGTATTTTCAAATCAGTTCAGCTCGGGCAATTCTTAATATTTTTTTTAAATATTTTGGCGGAGGTATTAAAATATAATAAATTTGATATTCCCAAAGGAAAAACAGTACCGATGGTTTTTGTATAGAGAGTGAAGCACCCTTGTGTACATGCAGTGGTGAAAAAATAAGTACCTAGGGAAGCGACATTTGAGCAAGTTTTGCCTATTTTTCTTTTGTTTATTTAATATTTATTTTATTTTTTATCATAAAAGTATAGCTAATTTTCTAACAAAAACCATATAAATTCATATTAAAAATTTGAAATCTAAAGAATAAAAAGTCTGCGAAATTTCGTTAATTTTTGATAACTTTTTTCCGACATTTCTTGATACAAAAAAAAGTTTTCGAACATACTTTGAAACACTTTGTATGAAAAGAAATGCTTAAAAAAGTGCCAAATATCAACGGAATTTTTTAGGGACTTAAAGCTTACACTAAAATTTAATGGGTTATACAACTGTGTACTAAAAAAAAATTTCAAAAAAAATCTGATTAATAAGTTGAAAGTTTAAAATATGAATTTATATGATTTTTTTAGATAATGAGCTATACTTATGTAAAAAAAATAATAAATATAAAATAAACAAAAGAATTTTCCCACCGCTGTGCATATGTATTGAATCCTTTTATATGTTTAGGATAAACTCTTAAAATATTGGGTAGATTTTTCAGATTTTGTGCACGACAAAGATTTAAATTTTAAAATAATAAAAAAGTCCTAAAGCAAGATATAGGAGTACTTTCGTTACGAAATTTAACTTGACCTTTTAAGTAAGTATCATTTGTATGTAAATAACTAGGTGGTTCACAAGTTGTCGCAAGTGTCATAATGTCATATGTTGCACTTGAAACCGCAACCAACTATTTTTTAACAGTGTGAAATTCCATAATATGACTTGATCACACTGCATCCTTCATCGAATATTCAGAAGGCTGCACAATCACCCGAAATCTAGTTTAGATCTTAGTTTTATCAGCGAAAAATTTCCATCGGGAAGGCAGACGCTTCTAAAGCCATTGGCGCTGACAGATTATGCATGTTGATAATAAAATAGTCTCATAGACTCAGTTGGGGTATTCGCAACGGTGCCGTAAGTGTCGTATTGTTGTATGTCGTAAACTTTAAACGCCTAAAAAATATATTTATGGGGTTCGCAAAGTACCATCAAAGGCATATTATGAATTTTCGCAGTGTTAGAAGTAGTTGGTTGTGGTTTCAACTTCTCTAAACATTTATTTAAGCTTATAAAGTTTACGACATACAACAATACGACACTTACGGCACCGTTGTGAATCCCTCAACTATGCCTTTGGACACTCAACATTTATGACATGTGAAAGTCTGGAAGAGTGGTCCCACTGCTGAAAACAGGGAAAACAGCCAAGAAATGGGATTATTAACTTAACTCCATAAACACTCTGTTAGCCATGACTTTAACCCTAACTTCTCTTATGAGATAATTGTCCTAGTAGCGTTGCACTTGCCCAAGGCCTTTTGTATCGTTTGTAATTGTCCGCTACTAGAGACAACTGCGATATACTCTCCCTCACACTAATCCAGTCAATAGCGAATTATCTGAGTGGTCGTTAGTCAAAAGTACTCTTTCGAGGTTAAACGTTGAGGCCCACAGGGTCCAATCACCACTGTTTAGCTTCTACATCTCGAAGCTTCCTCCGCCACCACAGGGAATTTTACTTTTATAACACGCTGATGATTGCTCACCTCCAATGAAACTGATGTCCTGTGTTTGAAAGCAAATATCTATTTACGATCTTGCTCGTTTCTTCACTGCTCTGACCCCATAACTCTCTCCTCTGCTCAATTAACGACGACGCTTTTCACCCCCTGGACGACAAAGTTCGAGATGCAATTAGGCATCCTCATCGGCGTCACACCTATACCGACGGTTAATAATAACAAAATTTAAGGGATTACCTTTGAAAGCTTGCTTCCATTATCCCCCTCAGGGAACATAATTTCATGTTCGGCAAGCAATTTCTGCCTGATACCGCGGGGAACCCCCGAACAGACACTTGTCCAACGAGATCCAAACTATTTGGCTCGGGGTTTTACAGATAGGCAATAAACCACATTAATCGAGAGACAAGCATCAGCTTTCTCAACCTTAGCCCCGTGAATGCCGCCATCAGAGTTCAAGCATCACTCATTGCAAATGAAAAGCTTCAGCTGCCTCGAGAGATGCGCGTAGCTCAGGCGCTATTAAGGTTTGGATACTTAAATAATTCCTACTCATGCCTTGTCTGTGAAACCATCCCACACGACGCAAACCACCTTCTCAATCGGTGCATTTAAATCCACTCAACTAACAGGGTAATAATGGGGTAGGCGACTACCTAGACAGCGCTTGATCGGGTAAAACCTAAATCCTTTCGGTGCCCAGAAACGACTATTTTAGGAATGTTGCTTTGATAAATACCTCATATAAATTAGAGAAAAAGTACAGTGTTAAGATGAGAAAAGCATAGCCTTCTCGTTATCTGAGCGATTAAGCGTTCGGTCTCTTGTTCAAATATTAATGCCTATTACGGTATCCGACGGATGCCATTCGCACGAATCTAATGCTTCGCTCTCGCTTGTTATGACTGTGCGAATCGGACTAGATCCGTGCGGATGGCATCCGTCGTACACCGTAATAGGCATGATTAATTCCTAAATTAATCTTTACGACTTACTTTAGTAAGGATTAGACTGAGTTTACAGTAAACGCGAATTTTATTTCCGCGAAATCGCGCGACATCGCTTAGAATATATCTGTCTGCGTACCTTCGTTAAGTGCTTACCGAATACCAAAGGAAGGCATTTCACTGTCAAAGCGATGTTGCGCGAGTAAAAATTGCTTTTTTTTTAGAAACTGTGGCCTTAGATATGGATAAGACAAGGATTAGAAACAGTTAAAGGGGTTTTTTTTAGTTGTATCGTTAATGCAGGCCGCTGTGGTGTAGTGGCTAGTGCGCTATCATTCCGTAGGGCCTGGGTTCAAGGTCGATTCCGACCAACATCAAAAAATTAAAAAAAAAAAAAGTTTTTTCTAATAGCGGTCGCCCCTCGGCAGGCAATGGCAAACCTCCGAGTATTTTTCTGCTATGAAAAAACAGCTCCCTATAGGTCCGTCTCTCCCTTTTCAGTGACAACATCAAGACGAAATCGGACGCAAAGCTCGGCCAAACACGAACATATTGTGTAAGCGCCTGTCTAGTATTACCAATATCATTATCGTTATTGCTGAAGACCATCGATATGTATGTATGCAAGTTCAATCAAATATTAATTTTGAACATTTTGTTTTCTTCAAGAAAATTTGTGAGATCTCAAACGCCTTTTTGTTCTTAATGTCAATATGAGCAGCTGTTGGTGAGTAATTAACTGCGCTTGCTACCAAATCTTTTGTAAACACAAAGGACCTTCTTATTTCTTCTTCGTTTACTTATCCTCTATAATTTTTTGTTTTTCTTATTATCAGCTATTGAACTATAGATGAAGCTATATTGCCGTCTAGTCTAGTAATAAAAAAAATGCTTTGTAATATTTTCTTTGCACTGGCAAATCAACAAACATGCACACACACATACAAGTGTAATCCATATTTTAGTAGTGTAATCCTTTGTACTGTTCTGCATTCGTTTGTTTGTTTGTATGCAAGAGTTCTTGTGAATGCACTGTAATTGCATACATATGCACATATGTACGTACGACAAACATAAATAACTATAAAATCAATAGCTATACATACTGTCATGAATGAATGAATAACAAAAAAAAAAAAAACAGACGGCAAGAACAAAATTATTTTCAGATAATTAAATGATTAGGCAAACAACATATGTATGCACTTGTCATATTAGTGTGTGTAGTAGGATGGTACTCCCGTATGTACATATGTTTGTACATTTGTTGTGGTGTGGGAAAGTCTACTGCTGTTTTATAAAAGGCTATACAGCATAAAAGGTTAAGGAAAGTTCGCGACGAGGATTTGCTATTGCCTGCCAAGGGGTGACCGTTGTTAGAAAAAAACTTCTTCTATTTTAGATGTTGCTCGGACCACGGATCGAACCCAGCGGGTCTACCTTGTAATGCGATGCGAAAGAGAAGTGCGATGCGATAGGCAATCGTCACAGCATATTACTTACGGCGTATTTACCTTTCGCATCGCATTGCTCTTTCGTATCGCATTACACAGAGTAGCCCGCCTGGTCTCACGATGTGGTAATACGCACCTTTAACCATCCAGCCACACTTCAGCTATATTAAAAATAAAAATTTTAAGCAACAAATTTTCAAGCAAAAACTGCTGCACCCATTAATAAAAAAATGGAAATATTATTTTTGTGTAGGTGGTATGTACATATGTATGTAGTAGTAAGTATTTTATGACAAAAATAGTTTTGTGTAAATTTAATAACTTAATTTTTTCTAAGTTATTGATCAACGTTTTCTTAAGAAATACTTTATCACTCAAAACCTCTGCTGTTAAAAAAATATAACTGCCTGATATTTAACCTTTTCATAAAATTTACTCTAAAATCTTAAACAAAAACTCAAATTCGCTCAAAAACTGACTGAAAATGAGAAAAAGATTAAAAATAAAAAAAATTAAATTTTTCACCAAAAATCAAACTTTTATTTAAAAATTTATTCAACAAATCATAGATACTCAAAAAAAAACAAAATTATAACTTTTTAATAATTGCTCTCCTTTAAACTGACATTTTCAATTAAAAAATGTTCGACACATGCGATTGAGTTAAAATATTAAAAACTTAAAATATATTTTATGGTTTCACTCAAAAAGTTAGTAAATATACGAGCAACTATTTTCTTAAAACACATATTTACGAACTTGCCTTATCATTTATTTTCGCTTTCCATTCCTTTTAGACGATTTACTTTTTTTATTTCAATAAATAATATTTTCACTCAAAAAGTGGCTTGAGAAACCAACCCAAAAACAATAAATAAAAAATTATTTGTTATTGATTCTACTCTTGTAAAAATCGTATTTTCACTAAAAAAAAAGATTTAAATAAAATTTCCCCTCAAAAAAAAGTGTAAAAATTTAAAAAGAAAATCCATACATATTTAATATTTATTCTCCTTTTGTTAAAAATCGCTTTTCCTCTTCAAAAAAAAAAAAAAATAAATAAATATATGTACGCACTTTTGCAAAAAACAGATTTCTACTCAAAATAACATTAAAGTCAGTATAAAAATCAGTAACATATACTCTTTTTCGACTTTTATTTACTTCCATTGGTTTTACTTCATTTTCCTCCAAAAAAGCCTTTTACACAAAAAAAATCACTAAAAATCAATAAATATACAGTATCGGTCATATCAATAGCACTCCATTTCAAAATGATACTGTTTAGCACGTATGTTAATATTTTTTCTTATATATGTAATTCCCATGATAAAAAATACAATCTAAGATTATTTTCTTCCGACGTTTCAAGCAATTTAAAATCATATAATATTTAAAATAAAAGAATGAAATTGTTCACAATTGTTGTTTGAGATTGAAAATGAAAATGTATAAATGAGTTGTAAGTTTTGAGTTTTAAAATTATATTGCTGGAAAATGTCAGACTGTCGCTCAATGGTTTTACCTTGTAATGTTTTTATCATGATATTTCTCATATGCATTCTATTTTCACTCCAAAAGGATCTTAAAAAAATAAAATTTTGCAAAAAATTTTTCGAGAACACATTTCTATTCAACATAAATACAAATCATTAAAGAAATTTTTTAATATTTACTGTTTCATTTTTCGTTTAAAAAACACATTTGAAAAAAAAAAAATAAGGAAAAAATTCACCAAATCCATGATTGTGTGTAATTTAGTTTAAAATATCTATTTTTCGTTGAAAATCACAATATCCACTCATGCTAAAAACAAACAAAAAAATCAATTTTTCACTTTTCTAAAATACCGCTTTAGTAGAATTCTTTTTCGTTTAAGAATTTTAATTTCATTCAATTTCAACAAACTATGTATACACATATTTCGCACTCACTTTTTGGAGTTTATGAAAAACTAAAAAAATTTGCAATATTTTTTTCTACGAAACCTTTGACTTCACAATCCTTTGAGTTTTTTCTACTTGGCTTTCGCTCACACGCCGCTTTCTAAATATTCGAAACCATTTCGTTGAGCCGTCAGTAACGTACTGAATGTGAATGGTCGGTCTTTGGTGAAAACGTTGTTAGCGCCTTACGGTATGCAACAGCGAACACATATGTGTGTATGGGATTCGTACATTCGTCGTCCACTAATAAACTATTATTTGCGCTGTTCGATGCCGTTGCTTTTGTCGTTGAAAGTCGCCTTCAACCTCTATTCCTGACGTCGTGGTTGTTGAGTTGCTTGCATCGACCACGCTAATAAGTATGTACATACATATGTAGCGGAGCTAGATACTGGTGGCAGCAATGAAAAGTGGGCGCCAAACTGTTTTAGCCAACCGGCAAGTTTCGATACATAGCGCATTCATATACATTTGTATGTATGTATGTATATGTCATAAATACATACATACTCTACTAGGAGTATCATCGCCACAATTGCCAAGCTGGTATGGATATTTTTTCCAGTTTGCCCGATTGGAAAGTGCTTTTCTGGTACTTTTTTTTTGATTAAAAATTCAAGGGAAAAAAATTCACTTGCCATTGATGACCCTGTTTATATACGAAAGAAAAAGTTATAAATCTTTATTAGAGCAACAGAAGTCAAATCAACAATTTTTAGAATTTTTGTCTGTCTGTCTGTATGTTTGTATGCGCATCACTCGAAAACTTATGCATGGAATCGAATGCAGCTTTCACCGATATATTGCTTAAAGTCCAACTTAAAACATAGAAGTAAAAAAATGAGGGAGTTGCCACCTTTTTAAAAATTGCAGTTTAGGTAAATTGATAAGATAAATTAAACATTGCAATATGGCTGTCAAAAGAAATATGTTTAAAAGGGCTTACAGCCGAAACAGTTTTATGGAAGGTTGCCACCTATTTGAAAACTTCGATTTACTCGTGGTATTCTTTGGTTGAAGCTTTCCAGGCGATTATAATTTTTATACACAGTGACTCAAACAAGTGATACCGTTTTGATTTTCTTAAATATTCACAATTTTTTTCAAATTAACTTTTTTTATTTTTCTATAAAAATATTACCCAAGCCTTTATGAAAACCATATAAATCAAAGCTTGAAACTTTATATAAATTTAGAGAAATTCAAAAAATTTTCATCAAAATTTTGAGTTTCTAATCTGAACCTTTAGAACATTTTTAGGTACGCAATTTCATAGCGCATACAATTTTAGTCCAATGAAGTGCAAATTTCATGCATCTAGAAAATCGCGTTGATTTTTAATATTTTTTTTTTGCTGACGGATTTTTGCACACTTTCCCAAAAAAACATGAATTTCTTGTAAAATAAAAAGCGCAAGACTGTAAGCAACAAAATTTCAAAACATCAACGCCAGTTTTTGTAAATTGCACTTGTTGCAAAAAAAATCGTAGAAGCGGTTACTAAAAGAAATTGTTAAAAATCAACGCGCTTTTTTAGGAGCTTCAAGCTTGCACTTCAATGGACTAAAATTATATGCGCCGTAAAACTGCTTGTTCAAAAAATTTTCTGAAGATTCAGATTAAAAAAGCTCGAAATTTTAAAGAAAATGTGTTGAATTTTCATATATTTTGTATGAAGTTTGACCCTTTGTAGTTTTGGTTAAAGCTTGGACAATATTTTAAAAAAATCAACACCTGAATACTTCTTCGAGTCACTGTATAAATGTAGGTTCCATTGACTTCGGTTGCACATAAATCTCTTACCCAGTTAGAAAAAAGCAACCATATTTAATTTCTAAGTCAATAAATTCCGCGAGGGAAGTTGGCTCAAACATATTTGAGTATACATATAGGCGCACAGTGCCATTGCCAGCTATCAGTCATACAAACATATGCACGTATGGATGTGTGTTGATTAAAGTACATGTATGGTAAACATTCATATGTGTATGTATGTACTAGAGACCTGCACGAGTGATTCCGGCATCGTATGAGTACGAGTGCTAGTAATCTTTTTATGAGTACAGCGATGCGTTTTTGTAATCGTATAATCGCTCACACGATGCCTATTCTTACGATGCGACATCGTAGCATCAGACGATTACTATTTTGGCATAGCCGTAAGCTCGTCACGTGGCAAAAAAGTTAAGCGAAATGCAACAAATACACATGTTTGAAACATCTCGTCATTAATAATGAAACAAATCAAAAGATTTAATAATTTTCCGCCTAAAAAAAATAACTAATTGTAAAAACCACCTTTATGGAACTTTTTATTTAATTTTATAATTCATATTTTAGAGATTTGTGTTGAGAAACGCACATAAAATAAAATTGCATCCAAGCTTTAACTTTCTAAATATATTCTTCTGCCCTATAAAATGCGCTTTTCAGAACTACTTCAGGCGTTCAGGAATTTATAATTTGTTTAAAGCTTTTCCATACGTCACTGGAGCCTGTTGCTCCAATCGCGAGTATTTTGTTTAGCACTTCTGTTTTGCCGTACAATTTTCCTTTACAATCCTTATAGGTTTCAATGAATTTTTAAGTTTTGTCGTTTTTACACATACTTCAAATCAAACTTCGCTCATCGTAAACGTCTCATATGAAAATGATGGTATGAAAAAAATATCCGTTTGCGGCCAAGTAAAACGATGCTTTGCCTACGAGATGTCTAATTTAAATTCAAGTATTATCATCGTTTCTATTGATACTCGGCGATTATTAACTTGTTATATTTTTACTTACTCGTGCAGGCCTCTAGTATGTACATATGTAGAAGTACATAAAGGGCGTAACGTCAATGGTATGAGTATTTATTGCGCTGAGTTGGCGCGCAACTTTAACTGTCTTTTCAATGCTGTACTTTCCTTGCTTCATATTTTGGCTCTTGGCTTAGAGCACCCAAAGTTCATTTGTTTATTTATTCCTATGTTTGTTTGGCTGTTTGTATACAGTTTTGATGTGCAAGTATAGACTGGCCTCTTTGTGGCTACAATAAATACAAACAGAAATGCAAGAATTTATACACACATATGTACATACAGAAATACAGATGTATGTACATACCTGCATATGTGGCAACATAAAAAGTTTGGCTTGCAAGGTTTTCTCCCTAAGTGTTGTTCTTAAAATTTTATTTATATAATACTTGGCTGCAGTAGGTTACCTCTTAATTTGGCTATTATAACGGTAAATTTGCTACTTTCACACGAATGCAAATTTAAAAAAAAAAAGTTTGTGGTATGATAGAAGGGAAGGACGAAGGACTTACTTGCAGTTCAATATTTTTGCCAACGTAATTGGCGCGTTAACTGTCTAAACGACTTTTGGCTGAGTTCAGCAAAATGCGCCAATTCTTTTTAGATACGTGTGTAAATTTGAAAAGCAATCTACACTCACTTGTATTAAGAGAAATGTTTGTATATTTAGAAATATTTTTAGTCGACGTAACTAAACTCTTTTATCGGTGTAGTTCTCGCACTTCCAAGTAACTTGAGCCGCCTAAAAGCGTATGGTAGCCTAAACAGGATTTTTCATTACGCGGGTGTGTAGTTTCTTACAGGTTACTTGTGTCGTGTAAAGTCGACTTGAGGGTGAAGCAGGTAGTCGGTGAGTCCTACCTGATAGCTCAAATATTTGCTCCATCGACTATATTTCATGAAAATTGAATAATGGGCGATTGGTGCAAATTCGGAAAGGAGTGACGAAAGTATAAAGCAAAATATGTATAAGAACATGAATTTGATAGTTTTGTCAGCGTTGGAAATTTCGGTTTCATTAGTGTGACTAATTATCTTATAAATTGTAAATTTAGTAAACGACAAGAAATCATGGATGCCTAAAGAGCTCAGGGCCGCCAATCAATCAAAGAAATTAATGCTAAAAGTAACATCTTCCTGCCCTCGCCAAGACAGGCAGCTTGGAGACTACTCAATGCCTTCGACTTCTTCTTCGTCGCAGAAGCTAAAAGCCCCTATTGCAGCAGCTTAATGGTGGATGCTGTGGTGAAACAGTCTAAAGATCTGCTACTCAGCTGCCCAAATTTTGCAAGCTTTAGTGTTGTACACCTTGGGTCAAAGCCTTGAGGATATTTCTGGAAGAGAGATTAGCCGCTTGCCGAACTTTTTCGTTAGAATAGAGTTTTTTTCTACCACAAAACCCCTAGGCGTCACCGTTCAACCCTCGCTTTCCCTATAAGTTTTTATCATCTGCCGCTCTTTAAGGCAAAGTTTATTTATTCGTAGAAGAGCGCCTCCGCCTATATGGGCAGCCGATTTAATCTGATCTATATTTATATTAGATAAGAAGATAATTTTATCAGCAGCCTTCCGCTCTTCTTAAAGAATATACACTTTAAAATTTATTTCGATCCCATTTAACCCAAGTTTGCCTAAAGTTCATTTCAACAGGTCGTGCTTTGCGTTCCCATTTCAGTGGGTAGAGAATAGATGAATTCTTTTAAAAGCGTCTAGCAAAATGAATACTAATGCGTTCTTTTCTTGCAACATTGCGCTCGGTCGTGTTACAGGAGTGTCGCTGGTTCTCGGCTCCACTGAAAGGTCTCTCTAAAACGAATAGCAGTAAGAGTGGCAGAAAATCTTAACAGAGCTTTAAGACGTCATTTGGTATTGTAAATATTGCTCCGCTAATACGGATCATATTAAGCCACCTTACTGTGTTGGGTAATTTAAGATTGGTTCCTTTAAATATGGCAGATCATTCTTGTGTTCAAACTTGCTTACAGCACAACTTTTCTTCCGGGGTTACACCATTGACTAGCGTTGCTTTATATCTTCCTGTTGCTGTAATGTAATGAATCATCTTCATCCTCTGACTCTGCAAGCCTGAGCCGAATAAACGGGCAACGTCGATAGGCGCAGTCCATAGTGCTTCTGGTGGCAGGGTAGTCGGGTTAGAGCTGCATACGCAGAGGTTTTGGGTATTGTGCTTTGACTTCAGCCGAAAAAGGTACTGCTGAGCCTGTGCCACCACCCTGAATGACGTTGTGCAAGGGTGCGTTGGTCTCTCTCGGCAGTTCCGCTTCTTCAAGTAGTTGACCACCTGAGACACGTCCTTATGGTCTACGTACGGCACGATGTCAGTTCTCCAGTTGTTCAGTTGCCGTCTCACGTGTCATGCGGGGAG